GCTGGCCAGCCAGCAGGCAAATGGTGGCTGGTAGTTGGATGTTGATGGGCGCTGTTGAAGTACGGATGAGGACCTGCCGCGTACAGTCCGTAGCCTGCTGCCCTAGCGAATTCCGCGGCTGCACGTTCTGCCGCACGATTCCGTAGAATTCGGTTGATACTGCTGACCGATGGGGCTGTCGCGTTGCTGCAGACGCCTGGAACGTACAGATTGTGCTTCTTCTGCAAATTTCTGTCTGTGTTTCGGTTTTCCCTGGGCGATAGAGAAGGTTAATTGTTGAAGTGAAACGAGGATCGTCGATGAAGCTTGTTTAACCTGTTAACCTGGGTTCGCATGTTTTCTGTCGAGATTCAGTTTTTTCTGGGGCAGGAGAGTGTTTGAGGGGAGATCGATCGTGGAGCGTGTCGATGGGTGAGTTATGCGAGTTGGTTGAGGAACGTTTTCAACGTTGATTTTTAGAGAGAAAGGTTATGTTAACCCTTTCGTGATCGGATTACTGTTTTTTTATTTATTTACCAATCGCGTGTGTGGATGATTGAATTAGGCGAGTTGGCTGAGGAACTTTGTCAACGTTGATTTTTAGAGAGAAGGTCAATTAGTAAGTCAGTTGCTTATGTTAACCCTCTGGCGACCGGACTATTATTTTAAAGAATTTATTATTTATTTACCAATCGCGAGTGTGCATGAGTGAGTTATGCGAGTTGGCTGAGGAACTTTTAGAGCATTGATTTTTAAAGAGACACTCAGTCAGTTACGTTAACCCTCTGGTGACCGGACTAGTTTTTTTTAATTTTTTATTTATTTACCAATCGCGTGTGTGCATGAGTGAGTTATGCGAGTTGGCTGAGGAACTTTTAGAGCATTGATTTTTAAAGAGACACTCAGTCAGTTACGTTAACCCTTTGGTGACCGGACTACTTTTTTAAAATTTTTTATTTATTTACCAATCGCGTGTGCATGAACGAGTTATGCGAGTGGACTGAGGAACTTTTTCAACGTTGATTTTTAGAGAGAAAGGTAATTACTTATGTTAACCCTTTCGTGGCCGGACTATTTCTTTAAAGAATCTTTTATTTAGTTACCAATCGCGTTTGTAATGGATATGAACCCTTTGCACTCGGTCATTTTGCTGTAGGAAAGGTTGCAATTTGGATCTTCTTTGAAATTTTTACAATTAACGTAGAAATTTGGATAAAAGAATTTTATCTAAATATTCAATGTACAATGGCGAACAAATTTATAGAGGCCCATAGATCTGCTCTCTGTGACCATTATTTAATGTCGCTTCTCAGTCGCCACTCGATTGCAAAGGGTTAAATTGACATCAATTTTTATTTCAGTATTCCACTGTGATAAATGTTTCTCGCTAATAACGAAAGGGTTAGAGACGTCACAGTAACAAGACATACAAAATCAAGGAAGAATTCTTAATTAACCCTTCGACAGTCTAATTAAATTATGAATTACGCCAAAGAAAATTTAGATTTTACACGTATCTGTCTAACAGTTACGCCGTGTGTGATCATTTTTAAAACACGGGATACATAGTCACAGTTATGATAATAATATCTCGCCCTTTCTAACTTCCTTGAGTTAAACAATTAGATATTTCACGCTCTGTCCGAGTCTCACACGGAATAAACCGTCGAAGGGTTAAGATTCCTAATTTATTCGTCACGCCCTACTCTAAATTCCAATAAAAATCGAAAGAAAATTATAATCATTTACTTCGCTCTAATTCTTGCAAATCTATACCGACATAACGGTGCAAATAAAAGTAAATAATACCGCAACGACTAAATTATCGTGTGCTAACTATTGGTGAACCAACGAGTTAACTCGTCCTCCCCGGTTAACAGGTTAAGTGTGCCGAGGTTATTAGTATAATTAGTAATTAATCGTATTATTGGATAAACGAGATGTACCCTCTGGTTGTTGCATGAGTGACAGTGGAGTTAGATTACACTTGTTGTTCGTGTCGGTAACATTATGTCACACAATGTAGCTGTAAATGCTTACGGAGCGTGGTTCTACAAGGTGAAATAATGTTGGGTTTACTCTGGTGCCGCTTCGGAAGTTGCTTAGGTTATAGGAGAGGTTGACGATGGAATGTTTGTTATTGAAGCAACTGTGTGACATAAGCAGCGTTGTGTACTATAGATGAACGAGCGCTTTCCTCGCCAATAACGGGCCTCATTCGGTAGCCGCGATATTTACAAGGGTTAGAAGTACTTCTCTCCGTTAAATCGGCCCACCGATACTCAATTATAAACGAACAAACCTACATTTATGTTACATTAAACGTACCTACGATCCTTGGGCCGAGTTTCGTCTTCAATTCGAACCTCGAAAAAATAGATTTCTCCGCGTTTGTATTTATACTTCAACGACGTACAATTCCTCCATCCGGTTCTTTCTATCTTCGCCGAAATGCTACTCTCAGTTTTCATGCAAATTCTTCTCCCGAGGAGAAAGAAAGTCTCCGGTACAGACGGAAAAATAACGCGGAAATTTCGATAATTGCCGAAGTCGACACGGCAGAAAAGAAACGCTGGTCTTTTTAACGGATAAGACAGAAGGCGCGAGATACGAAGCTCGCTATGAAAAGAATAAAGTGTGTCGGCGGACAAGGCCGTGGAAGAGTTTCTTGATTCCAGCCGCAATTGCACGTTTGCTCGTAGACACACGTATACAACTATTATTACCGGGCGATTTGCAACGGTGCTCGAAGCACGCGGGCTCGCGCATTGTTGAATAAGAAGCCAGGCCGGCTGGCAATTAGCTGCATGTGGACCGAGAACCTGTTGACTTCGTCGCGAATTCGAAACGAAACCTTGAAGTTCTGGTATGGAAGAACAACACGTCTCTATTTTGCCAACCGCGTTCTCGTCTGTTTCTCTTTTTTCTTCGAAACGTTCGATAAGAATAATTACACTTACCCTCGGATATCAGCCTCTCGCGAATCTCCCAGGCGAAGATCGTCGGGTTCTCCCTCTTGTACTGCTCGATCTTGGCGACGACGGCGGGCGTCGCGACTTTTGGCTTGCTGCCACCGATTAAGCCCGGCGGGCGTAGAGTACCTGGAACACGTTAAACGACGAGCTTCAAGGACTCGTTGATTTTTGGGTAATGCTTCTTTACGTGGAGGATAATGTCTGGTTGTGAACGGTTGTTTGATCCTGGGCCAAGTTTACGTAAAGAGGATCCAAGGGAAACGACGTAATTTTGGAAAATCACGCGATCGGTGTAATAACAAGGTCTGACGATTCGGTGTAACTCGTCGTGGGAGATTTTTAGGAGGTTGGTTTGGAGGTATAAGCTTCTTCTTCAGATTCGGTTTAAGGGAAAGGTTGGGAAATTTGTGACTTTTTTGGTGGGAGATTGAGGAGAGTGGTGTAGGTTTGTTGATTAAATGGAGGTACAGGGAAGGCTAGTTTTTGTTTGGAGAGCGTTGAAGTTTTAGTTGATTCGGTGAAAATAAATGATTACGAATCGTAGGAAGGAAGAAATTTTCAATCTTTTGGTTTGGAAATTGAAGAGAGCGTGATATAAATGTGTTAATAAGATGGAAGCGTGGAGAAGGTTAGTTCTCATCTCGAGAGCATTGAAATTCCAGTGGATTCAGTTCAAATAAAAGATTACGAATCGCAGAAAGAAAGAAATTTTCAATTTTTCTTTCTATAAATCGCCGAGAGCGTAATATAAATGCGTTAACAAGTTGGAAGCGTAGAGAAGGTTGGTGCTCATCCCGAGAACATCGCAATCCCAGTAGATTCACTTGAAAATTACAAATTATAGAAAAAAGAAATTTTCAATTTTTCGTTCTATAAATCGCCGAGAGCGTAATATAAATGCTTTATCAAGATGGAAGTATAAAAAATCCCAGTGCCCATCTCGAGAGCATTGCAATTCCAATAAATTCAGTCGAAATAAAAGATTACAAATCGTAAGAAAAAAGCAAATTCCCAAGTGTGAATTTAAAAAATGGAAGAGAGACCGCAATGCAAACGCGTTGACAAGATGCAAGCATAGAAAATCCCAGTGCTCATCTCGAGAGCATTGCAATTCCAATAAATTCAGTCGAAATAAAAGATTACAAATCGTAAGAAAAAAGCAAATTCTCAAGTTTGAATTTAAAAAATGGAAGAGAGACCGCAATGCAAACGCGTTGACAAGATGCAAGCATAGAAAATCCCAGTGCTCATCTCGAGAGCATTGCAATTCCAATAAATTCAGTCGAAATAAAAGATTACAAATCGTAAGAAAAAAGCAAATTCTCAAGTTTGAATTTAAAAAATGGAAGAGAGACCGCAATGCAAACGCGTTGACAAGATGCAAGCATAGAAAATCCCAGTGCTCATCTCGAGAGCATTGCAATTCCAATAAATTCAGTCGAAATAAAAGATTACAAATGATAAGAAAAAAGCAAATTCCCAAGTGTGAATTTAAAAAATGGAAGAGAGACCGCAATGTAAACGCGTTGACAAGATGGAGGTACAGAGAAGGTTGGTGCTCATCCCGAGGGCATTGAAATCCCAGCGACTACACACAGGCTCTCGACATCGGATACCAATCATATCGTGTCTGGGCGGATCCACGAGGCAGTCATTAGAAGCTTAGCGCGTGAAATGATACCGGTATGCGATAGCCTGCGATAATCAGAGATATCTAATATGAGCCGATCGGGGAATAGACGCTCGTGTAACGTTTCCAAGACGTGTTCAGGCTGCTGCCATGCTGCTACTGCTACTACTGCTGTTCCCTGTTTTTCTCCTCTTTCGTCACCTGAGCGTAGCGCCACGAACTCGCTCGAATTAGCTAATCGCTACTGGATCTTGCTCGTTGAAATTCTAAAGCTCATAGGTACTAGATTTTAACCATAATACTTTTTAATCGTTTCTCATATTTTACATTCACCGTTTAAACTACACGCTTGATCGTTAATCATTCTCCACTTATTCTTCCTTCTCTCTTTCTCTCTCTCTCTCTATATATACACTACCGGCCAAAAGTTTGGAATCACCGAGCGTTGCAATTTACGGAAAAATTTGCAGAAAAATGTTAACGACTTTGAGAATTTTTTATCGTTCGAATCAATTGATATGAGATAAATTGATAAGTGTAGAATTGAGATAAACTTCACATCTATAAGAAATTAACAGCAGATTTAATATCGATGAAAAGTGGAAGGTGATTCCAAACTTTTGGCCGGTAGTGTATATACATGTTTCAACGCATCTAATTTTTCCCTGAAATTTTCTGCAGGATAATTTACAGAAATTACTTTATACTAACTCTCGCGTACTCGACAATATTTATATCAGCTCTAAATATGAAACGAAAGATATTTTGTAGAATGAAGTAAAATGTAAAATAAATGAAAAAGTAGTAAGTTGATAAATAAATAACGCAATAATGATGTTTTCATTTTCTCTCATCAACTATGTGCAATATATTTAGCATTAATATAGAAACAGAACTGTAACAAAGAGTTCGTAATATAGCAATATTGTCAACAAAATTAAAAAACAAAATAATGTGCAATGATTCTCACTAATATTCGGACACTCTTTAGAACAGCGTAACTGTTTTCAAATTGAACCTAACGACTTGAATTTTATTTGAGAAATTAGAAGGATTAGTATACCAGATGACGTGTGCAAGAAATTTGGAAAAAATTGCAATTTGTGGGAATCGCGAAGGAAACTGTAAAGGTCACTGTTTACAACTTTTCTAAGTAGATCTATGTCAATTATACATATTATGCTGAAAATTTCATCGAAATTGGTCGATGGAGAAACAAGTGACAGAATCTTTAGATTTATTACAGTTATAGCGAGATTTTCACAATATCTAACCGTTTGTAATTCGTAGCAACGCTAACCAATTTCCACGAAATTTTCAGCATGTGCACAATTGACATAAATCTACAAAACGTATTTTTTAAATTTGCATTACGAGCTCGGATAAAAAAGTTGTTAAACATGACCCTTACAATTTTCTAATTCCAATTCTAATTTTCAAATTGCAATTTTTTCCAAATTTTTTCCACACGTCGTCTAGCACACCAATCCTTCTAACTTCTCCAAAAAACTCAGGTCGTTAGGTCCAATTTAAAAAAAGTTACACTCTTCCAAAGATTCTCCGAATATCAGTGGGAGACACTGTACCTATTTACGCCGGTATTAGCCCCACACTCATTCCTCTTCATTCCTTCACGCCCAAAATTACAAAATCTTTCCAACTCAACCTCTTTCATAATCAACATACGATAGCATCTCTGCACTGTGATTTCCTCGAATTCTATCGTACCTTATTCGTTCGAAAATAACGCGATCAACAGTTCCACCCGTACACCGCCAAAAGGCCCGTTCAAAATCCCCGAGAAAATCACAAGGGAACTCACGTTTCGCAAAAGTGAAGCGCGTGAAAAAGATTTTACAACAGCCTTCTTCGCCGGACGAGCCGAGGTTGGTGGAACGTCGCCACGCAGGCAGACGTTCGTTATCATTGATTTTACTACTTCACCCTTCGTTTCATGCTCGCGATTCCCCAGGGAGAGCCGACCGTTCGAGCTGGCCGCGAAGTACCTGGCTGCATAATGTACACACGGCGAAGGGTTAGCACGGAGTAATTATAGAACGTTTCGTGCTATCATTAGCTTAGGCTACAATGTGTCGCGGTAAACCTGACAGGTCGTGCGTCGAAGATGCGCAGGTGTTACGTGAATGCATAAGCACAAAGGTACCGACAAACGTATGAAACAAAACTGTGCGCACACCGGTGACGTTCCAGCTTAAAATCCGCGAGTTCTATTCAACTATCTTCAACTAGTCTTCTTCGAAGTATAGCCTGTCTATCGAAGAAAAAATACCACTCTGCCGTCTGCCAGCTTGCTGCAAAGTGGCCAACATAGTTGCACTTTTTTCTAAATATAAAACAAGGTAGACGTTCTTTGCTCGTCGATAGACGGTCTTCAATGAAAAGAATGCTCTATTCATAGTGTACTCTGCAACTTCTTCGAGTACGTTTCTTCGACAAAAGTGTGCACACACAGGAGAAAGAGAGCTGTGTATACTTTTGCAGCACGCGATCGCGATAAGTGAGAAAAAATGCGTCGGAGCCGTGTGGATCGTAATGGAAAAGTCTGGAGAGCAGATACACAAGAGTTGCACGCACGACAATGCACCGAGTGTTCGAGAGTCGAGGAGAGAAACTTAGCTGGCAAGGTAATGGAAAGCAGAGGCGCAGGCAGACTTGAGCAATTATCGGTGGTTACGTCCTATTATTAATAACAATAATGACGGTTAAAGCTGGCAGGATATCGCGTGCGCTCCCACGGGCGAAGTGCGTGCCTGGTATAAACGATGTATACCCACCTAGGTAATAGGTATCCATGCCTCGAGCAAAATTCCTTGCCCTGATCCAACGTCTCTCTCTCCAACTCTCTTCCTTTAACACGTCTCCTTCCCATATCTCGTCTCTCTTCTTCCCACTCTCCGTTCGACATTATTCAACGTATGCGCACAGTTTCGAGGCTGTCGGCGTATAAAATTTGTCGAGAATAGAGCTCTCGTTTAACGAAAGAAACCGTAGTTTCTTTCTCTATCGAACGAAACACGCGTCCGTTCCGTTCAGTGGACTGTTCTGGTATCGGTAGCAGAGGATGATGGCTACCAGCATCCTTCCTCTTCGAGTATCCGCGCCATTACGAGGATAGAATGGGAAATAGGCGTAATCGCGAGCCGCACGAACAGGCTGGCCTGGTTTGCGGCAGCGTGTGCTCGTTATAAGAGCGTACAACCGACAAAAGTGTATCTACCGATGGCTAAGGCGAGTTCGAAATGCGAGTTCCACGGGCGCGGAGCAAGATCTCGCGAGCCCATTTCTCCATAGGCGACGATCGATCTTGTTACGCGCGGATAAGAGGACCGATAGCGGAACGACGGAATTAATTATCGGCTGGCGAACTCGCCGAGGGAAATTAGACGATATCGGACGTCGACAGAGACTCTCTCTTTCTGTCCTTCTGTTACACATTCTTCTCGTGGTTGGTTTCGAGTTAATTTATTGTGCGACCTCGTGTGCGTACATGTTCCTCGCACAGGACAGATCTATCTTCGCGAATTCGTCGATCCTCGGTGCTGGACAAACTGCGCTCTGGAAGATGAATGTGCGCTCGAGTTGGGGGATTGTCGGCGTAAGAGTAACGCACGCGTGGTACACCGTCGACATTATGGCGTACGGAGGTTGTTCGAGAGGAGCGCGAGTTGGAGAGTGTTATCGTTCACTTTTCTTTGATTTAGATTGTGATCTGACTTTTTTCGCTGTTTTTGGAATTGACGGCGATGTCGAGCTTTCACCGCGGACGAGGTTTTCTTTTCAGATTGGAAGGCTGTTTGGGTTTCGTGGGTCGTGGAGAAGGATTTGGTGAGCCTTTAGAGTTCTCTGAGATTTAATTTACAATCTAATTTCTTTCCTTGTAATTGACGGAGATATCGAGATTTCGCTCGTTGCTTCTTCACGAAAGACAAGATTTTCTTTCAAGATTGCAAGCACCTTGAATTCTTTAGGTAATAGACAAAGATCGGTTAATCAGAAGGGAAATTGTCGTGGCCTTTTTCAGAGTTTCCTCAGATTTTGTCGCCAGAGTTTTCCAGTTCTTTTTTTATAATTAACGGATATCGAGGTTTCTTTCGTTGCTTCTTTGTCAAAGAGAAATTCTCCTTTCACGGTTGTAAACCCCTTTGCATTCTATAATTCGGAAGGAAAAGAATCGTGACCTTCCTCAGAGTTTTCTGAAGTATGTTTAGGAGAGTCCTTCCATACTTTTTATTTCATAATTGACTGAGATTTCAAGCTTTCGTCCATTGCTCCTTTATCAAAGAAAAACTCTTCTTTCACGATTGCAGGCCCCTTTGCATTCTATAGTTCGTGGAGAAAAATTAGTAAGAAGAATCATCCTGGCCTTCCTCAGAGTTTTTTGGAATATTTTCGTAAGAGATATCTTATCCTTTTTATTTCATAATTAACGAAAACTTCGAGCCTTCGTCCATTGCTCCTTTGTCAAAGAAAAATTCTCTCGAATCCTTTAGATCATCGACAAAGCCTTTCTCACAGTTTTCTGACACTTTTTCATTCAAGTTCTCCAATTCTTTTTTCTACAATTAACGGAGGCATCGAGCTTTCACCCGTTGCGTCTTCGCGAGGGAAAGAAGGGGATTCGATTGCGAGCCCCTCCTTGGAGTCCTGTAGATCGTGAATAAAGATCGGCAAGCGAGAAGAGGAATCGTCGCGGCCTGGTGACTACGGTTCAGGCCACAGGATTAATTGCTTGCCGCTGTTAAGTAATTGGCTGGTCGATTATGGTACATTATATTCACCTGGACGACGCCTAAGGAGTCCGTATCCAGTGGAGATGAAGACATTACCGGACTGGCGAGAGAGCAAGCCGAACGGTATTTTTACGAGCGGCTCGTAAAGTTAACGAGGACCAAGGTAGCAGTCAGCCGAGAAAGAGAGAAAACCAGCGTTCCACCGATGCTTCTCGGTGGCTTGCCTCCATTTTTTTATTGCTCCGCGTTCTGCGTTCCTCTTCCTCTCTTCTTCGAACGAGCCTGTCCGCGCGGACACGCCGACACCTTTGCTCTCGCGCGGTTAAACTCGCGTTTTAGATGAATCTTTCCGCACCTGCTCTGTCATCTTCGTATCCTTCGTGAAGTTTCTCTTGGCGACTGGAATATTTGCGGTTTCGGAGACTTTTGTCGAGTCGAGTGGCGCTCGGGACTAGCGAATTTTGTTCTTTGGAGGAATATTTTAGTGAAGCGGCGCGTAGGGTCGTGAAATTTTGTTCTTTGGAGGAATATTTTAGTCAAGTGGCGCTTAGGGCTATGAAATTTCATTCTTTGACCGAATATTTGCGATTTCAGAAATTTTTCTGAAGTCAAGAGGCGCTTAGGGTCACAAAATTCCATTCCCTGGCCGAATCTTTGCGATTTGAGATATTTTCCTCTGGTCAAGAGGCGCTTAGGGTCACAAAATTCCATTCCCTGGCCGAATCTTTGCGATTTGAGATATTTTCCTCTGGTCAAGAGGCGCTTAAGGACACAAAATTTCACTCACTGTCTAAATATTCGCGATTTGAGATATTTTCCTCTGGTCAAGAGGCTCTCAGGGCCACCAAATTTCCCTCACTGACTAACTATTCGCAATTTGAGATATTTTCCTCTGGTCAAGAGGCGCTTAGGGTCACAAAATTCCATTCCCTGGCCGAATCTTTGCGATTTGAGATATTTTCCTCTGGTCAAGAGGCGCTTAAGGACACAAAATTTCACTCACTGACTAAATATTCGCAATTTGAGATATTTTCCTCTGGTCAAGAGGCGCTTAGGGTCACAAAATTCCATTCCTTGGCCGAATCTTTGTGATTTGAGATATTTTCCTCTGGTCAAGAGGCACTCAGGGTCTCAAAATTTCATTCTTTGACCGAATATTCGGGATTGGAGATATTTTCCTCTGGTCAAGAGGCGCTTAGGGTCACAAAATTCCATTCCTTACCCGAATATTCACAATTAGAGATATTTTCCTTTAGTCTCCCAGCACTTAGACAGCAATTTCAGAAAGATTTCACACAAATGGCGTCTAAATTACTCAAAGAACCAAACATTTCCCAATCACACTCAAACTTCTAAGACAGATTACATCTTAAGAATGTCAGTTCCACGTCTCCGCGTCTCCTTCACCTTAGATTCCTCGAATCGGGAACACGGAAGGCACAGGGGCAGGCCTCGGATCGTTGCAATTATTGACAAATTATTCGAGAATGGCAGGGCGCCGGCCAAGCGGACACATTTTACGCTCAAAAGAAACAGCTGTTACGAGTTAATCTCGGCCGACTAACGAGCTCGAAAGAGCGGCCGCTTCTTCGTAACGCTCGTTACGTCTTATTTGTCCGTGCCGAT